ACACACACACACACACACACACACACACACACACACACACACACACACACACATACACAGAAACAAATACACAAAAATATATACACAAGAAACATTGCTTGAAACTGCAGGAGAAAGAGACGACTACGCAACACTTCAAAACTTGTTTGATGCATGAAGAAAGATGGTTTGTTTTAATTTACCAAAAAAGTAAGAAGATGAAAGACAAGATGCATTTAAACAGGAACCTTTGCCAAACAATTAAAGTCATTAAGTTGCTTGGAATCTTAAAATAACACCATCTAAATCTGCAACRGTAAATCTCACTAGGCTATGACTGAGCATATTTGACGGTTTAAACTTGTCACAAAATTGCGAGAAAATGTGCGAATTTTTCACTGTTTTAAAACTTTAGCGCATTATATCCATCTTAGCCCAATTTGTACCAACCTACATGTTTACAAATTAATCTGTTGGACTTCACTTTGAACATAAAGGTAGACAGATTTGGACCAGGTTTAAATAAATTTTTATCATCATCACCAGCGTGTTGTTATTTCTTCCTGGACATATGTCAAAATGTAGTTTTTGCCTTCTTAAGTTAGGTCAAGATGCCCGCAATGACTCTACGACTATTTTGAGAGACTTTTTTGAATTTAATTTTGTTCAAAACCCAGGCATCAAGGCTGCAGGCCTTCGTGACTCATAAAAGGAAACTGAGAATCCCATAAAGTCTCAAACCATTATGGGGACTATCCTGTGAATATTATTTGTCAACTAGTCAACAGCAGTCCCAGCCCAGTGAGAAACCAACTGAGCCTGAAACACAACATGACTGATAAGTAAATCTGAGCATTCGTAGTTTGCTTGTTATGCCRTTACTAAATGTACCGTTTTAACCTGGTGAAGGATTTATTTTAATGACTTAAATCACAACACGTTTGGGGTCTTTGTGATTTCAAGAGACACCAAAWTTTGGACATTTTGACTCATTCATGTCAACAAAAGAAACCGATGTGAATTTAACAAACTTAAACTCTGGCAGGAACACAAAAAACATACTACCACATGGAGTTTTAGCCCCATTTAGTGTGGACGTTTGTTTTCAATTAGAACCACWAGAAACATAAAGCAGAGCAGTATCTGAAAGCAAGAACATTCYTTTAAAAAAAAGAAAGTTACATGTTGCTATGAAATGTAAAACTTCAGATACACAAAAAGCCACAAACACAAATAATTGCAAAGAATCAAATAGTGTGTTTTCCTAAAAAGATGGCCTTCAGGGTTAAAGAAAAGGAGCTTTTCAGTTTAAGCAGAACTATAAATAATGAACTGCAGAGAGCATGCTCGTTATGAAACAAGAACTCAATAAAGGCACAAACAGGCTGGCACATCTGTGGGACAGACTCAGATGACTCAGTGGCAATATGACTGCAAAGACAGACACACACAGACACACACACAAACACACACATTAATCAGGTTAGTGAGGTTAGAATGTTATGGCGTTCAGAGGGGGAGACACTTCAAAAACATACAGTTTCAGCATAAAAAACAAAGCAGAGGCAACACAGTGGTTAGTGATATTTAGTGATACAAACACACACACACACACACACACACACACACACACACACACACACACACACACACACTCACCGTCTTGGTTGCCCCAGTCCCAGTCCGGTCCACGAACCACTTTAACTCCCTGGAAGATTCCTTTGAGGATGATGCGAGGAAGGTTCTGTCTCGGTGTCAAGCTCACTCTGAGAAAAGAGAAGAGAGATGCAGCTGAACAAACCGCTCGACACACATTATACACACAACACATTAACAAACACTGCAGACTCAGAACATGGATTTAAACACGAGTGTTGTTCAGAAAAATCGTACGTACCTTATTGTGAAGATTTGATCAGATCTTGTTGCAAAGGAGCTGCCTATTCCCATACTTCTGAACGAGATCAAACCCCGGCTTCCATTTCAACCAAACCACTCTTTGATAAACTCAAAAAGTCATTTAAAATCCAGTCTGGTGAGACGAACAAAAGCCCTTCCCCCTTTTTTATGGTGCTTCATAAAAATATCGTCGGCCCAACAGGTCTAGCCTTCTTCCTGGGGTTTTGCTAGACATGCTTTCAGATTCCTGGGAGCTAGCAGGAAGCTCCGATGCTTTTGGCTTCTAAAGCCAACTAAGAGTAAATCTCTGTGTTGGACTGAGCTCGGACGGGTTTGTGCCGAGAATGTTTGTGTCTGAGAAGAGCTTTGAGCCTAATCCTAGACAGCAGAGCAATCAGGAAGCAGGTCACCTCAGGCTGTCATAAGTCATCCACATAAATGTTGGTATTTCGCATGAATTTTAAAAATATATACAACACAATTATGAGATCAGATTATTAATAATTTAAAAAAATGAAGCTGTGCTCGTTTCCTGTCTGAACAGACAGTTCAAAGATTAGTGTCATTTTTGCCAGTAAAATCAGCTCATTAGAGAAAAAAAAATTACTTTCCCAAAACCTGAGCCAAGATTGTTTGAAGCTTGGAGGGGATGTAAAGTGACAGATGTCCCAGTTTTATGACAGAGAAACATGACCTCAGAGTTTGATGTTTGTTTTTCACTGCAGCCTTTCTTACAAGGGATGAAGGTTTCTAATCCCGCTCAACCAAATGTCAGCCCTGATCACAGAAAGCATCGGGGGGGACAAAAACAACAACAACAACAACAACACACTACACCTACTGACTCACAAGCAGGATCGGAAATAAGAACAATTATTTTACTGCTTAAGACTAACAAGACAGAATAAATAAAATTAGAGATTAAAGTGACAAGAAATACAAATGATTTCCTGCAAGAAAAACAATTAAAGTCTTATTTAATTATAGATAACAGCTGTGATCCGTGCTACGAAGGCCTCAGTGTAAAATGCCGGCCTTTGTTTTTACTGAATGAAATGTGTGTTAGGGTTGGGCAATACTGGCAAAAAAAATAATAATCACGATTAATTGTGGTATTTAGCYGATAACGATTAATTTGACGATAAATCCCCTGGAGTCCCTGGACACCCTTGTGTCCTAGTCACATGACCAATTTAGTGGGAAAGATTTGCTCTTCGTAAAAAACTAAATTACAGACTTCAGGCTATACATCAAATTTTAAATTGTGTTGATAGATAAATAAATTATAGAACTTTTTTTATATTCCATCATATTTGAAGCGGAAAGGAGCACCGAGCTGACTCTGCCTGGTGGCATTAATCGTATTAATCGTCAAGTGCCAAAAAATAATCAATTAATGTTTTGCTGATGATTAATTGCACACAGTACGATTATGCCCAACCCTAATGTGTTTGTAGGGAAAAAAATCATAATTTTCAAACACATTAAAGAAGATCTATAGAGAAGTAAAAACTGAAACAAAACCAGCCTCAAGGATTTAAAACAGGTTTAAGATCAGCGGCTGGTTGGGAGAATATTTCCAGGATGCGACTATGGAACAGTAAATTGAGGAAGTCAGTTGGCAGYGGTGTATCTGGATGTGAGAGGAAARGATTAGGCCTATTTGACCTGGCAGGAACTGCATGTGTGCTGTCTGTGAGAGGAAGAGCCGATTAACCAGCTGTATACCGACCAGCGCCTTGTAAACATATGGTCCACACATATGCTRCCGTAAGCACCGTCACGCGTGCGCACAGATGTTTTCGATGTTCTACTCGACATACAGTATATGTCGACAACACGCAGGACTGGGACAGCTGCCCAGGAACGCGCTGTAAAAAAGAAATTAAACTTCTTCAAGCTGGTCTTTTTCCGTCATCAGAGGATCATGTCTTCTACTGCCTTTGTTGTRCAAAACCCAACACCCATAATCTAGTCTTCTAAGAAGCTGGACATGCTAATCTGCACATCTGACAATGGTAGCATGCTAATCCATTTAAATCTGATGCAATTACAAAAGGAACACTTTATCAACAGCATATCCGGCTCAGGTCTCACACCATGTTCATGATGGTGATACTCGACAGTCCTCGATTATCCCCACACATTTTCTATCCACTGTCTGTTCATAATCTACAAACAGATCAACAGTGCCCGGTTGTTAAATTGTCCTGCATGTTTGGTGCGATGAAAGAAGCCTTTCTCAGCGATACGGAAGCCAAACGTCGGCTTCCTCGCATAAATGGTTTCTGGCACTATATTAAGTCACACTGATTATGAAATGGAGCTAAAACTGGCGGTCCAGACAAATAACAGAATGTCCCACAACTGCCAACTATAAATCAGTCTTTTGAAACACTGTCAATGTAATTTGGGTCAATGTGGTCTGAAAATAAAGCAGCTTTGTGTGCTAGGCTCTACAAACTGTAGCTGCTCCTCATTCATCTGACAGAAAGTGACTTTCATGTGATGTTTGTCCCAGATGTACGCTGTGTTACTGCGCTGGGTGGAAAGCACCGTTACATTGCCCCTCAAACCACTGAGTTTAGTTCAGCGGATAAAATAAAGACAATAAGTTGAATAGCACAGTCTAATTATTGCCCACCTCTGAAGGCAAAAGAGCGATAATGTTGGTGCCCATGTCTGTTCATTTGACTGTAGCGTTGGCTTGGAGCAATAATAACGAAACACTCGGTAAACAACTAACTGGATGAACTTCTACAACTGATTAACTTTTGAAGTAAACACCATTCAAGATGGCCGCTGCATCTCATTAACATTAAACACAAACATGGCTGCTCAACTTGGGTGCTCCTCACGAGTGATGGGTCAAATGCAGAGCACATTGTATGGGAACATGCATTGATGACAAAATAAAAAGTGCATTTCTGTCTATCAACTTTACGAATATTGAGCTCGATTTTGATGTTATAGACGATAATCATTCAAACACATACTGAGTGTGACATAGTGAACTAGATAATTTGCATTTCCTGTAAAAATGCATTGTGAATGATTAATGATGAAAGACTTTGGCTGAATAGCTAAAAAAGCTGAAACTAAGCTAAAAATATTGGCTGAAATTAGCAAAAACTGAAAGAGCATGTTTGCTGAATTAAGCAGCAAGAAGCTAAAACTACCTGAAAAGTAGCTAAAAACAAAAAAAACAAGAAGAAAACATCTGAAATTAGCAGAAAGCAGCTGAAAGAAACTTAAAATAGCAGAAAGAAGCACCAAAGGGCTGAAAAGAGCAAAATAATAGTAAAAAATTAAAAAAATGTCAGAATGATAGGTAAAAAAGACAAAAATAAATACTTAAATCAGCCAAAGGAAGCTAAAATTAGTAGAAAGGAGTTTAAAAAAAGCTGAACCAGAACAAAAAGGTAAAAAGTACAGTAAAAAATATACAACAATTTCAAGGGTTTTAAAGATGTTGAAGACGGCTCCATTCAATTTCAATAGGAAAAAAAACGGTCAAAAAAGCTTAATATCTTAAAAAGTATAAATAGCTGAAGTACTGAAAGTCCTAGCAGAGCTGAACGTTTTGATATCTAAAGTGCTGAAAAAGCATAAAAGGCGCAGAATGAGAAACGTGCCAAACAAAAAATACGTAAAAAAATTTATTTAAATGACCTCGGTAGGGTGAAAGCTTGATAAAAATTTAAACAAATCTAAAACAGAGTGAAAGTYGTCACCAAACAGCCATTTTATTCCCTCTCTGCTCTGTGACGTCTGTAGGTTTCATTCACTTCATGCTTGATTAACCAGCTCAGGCTGAGTCACGGTCTTTTCTGCCACTTATGGGCATTAAAATACAGCCTGACTTAAAGAGACATCGTCTTAAAAAGTTCATTTAGGAAAACACTGAATGTTWTCAGTGACGTCAATTCATTCACAGCTGCTGCAGGTAAATATCTTTAAACAGAACTCTGTGAAGTATTATTCAAGTTAGGTGTTGAAGGCCATCAGCACCCATTTATTCCTCATTCTTTAATGTCCTAACTTAGTCTTCTAAAGATCAATCATTGCATTAACTTATTAATAAATTAAACCTGTATCACTGTCATTAATTTAAGATTTATTTGTGCTCTGCAGCTGCTGTTTGATCCAGGTTTATTTACAAAAGTTCTTTCAGTGTTCCTTATAAAAAGGAAAAGAAAAGGATCTCATTGTATTAAGAAAAGAAAAAGAAACTATCTGCCTTATGGCTGTTGGATTAGCACAGTACTTTTAGACTGCTCCTTTACGAGGACAAACTTCTAAAACAGAAGAACTATTTTAACCCGCTCCTAAAGAAGAGAATCCCCGGACTTGTTTTAATCTTTCCAAATTTAGCCTCAGTCAGATGTTACATATCATGGCTGCCTGGAYGGGATTACAGCTCGGAAATAACTCAGATTATAAATGTGTGAATTCCTATAGGGGTTTCTCTTTGACAAAAATAAACATGAAGCTTTCTAGCTTCTCTTTGTTCTGTTTATTTCTTCACCAGTAATGATCTGGTTCTGTTGGTGTTTAAAGTTGGAACTGGTTTGTGTACTTTAATTTATTCATTGCTCACACATTGCTACTAGAACATTAGGAAATCCTTTGTATTAAACACTAAACTGTTTATGTTTGCATTAACTTCTGGTGACACAGAACAGCTCTTAGTTTTAATGTAATATCTAAAGTTTGAAGAGTAAAACTGGAGTTCCCAAATGAAATTATGAGATCTGCTCAGTCAGTTTAACTTTTTAATTAACCATTCCAAAAATGGTCAAAATGAAGATGAAAAACAGGTGAATAAAATAAAATAACAACACTGCATCAATTCTATACAAAGCAATATAATTAATTACAAATTTTTTTGGCTCAAAATGACAAAATCAAGTTATTTAGTAAAGTAGTATTAATGTATTAATTTAAAAACTGCAAAAAATGTGAAGTAGGCACTGTTAAACCCGCCCACAGCTGATGCAGGCTTTAACAAATAATTATTTTTGGAAATGTGGGCTTATATCATCTCACTAAAAACAGTAATAAATAATAAAGTATTTCAGGGTCCCGGGTCAACGCCCTGGAAAGATACTTGGAAAGTCCGGCCTTGCATTAAAAAAATAAAATAAAAAAACATGTTCAGGACGTTCTACAGTTCTTGTCTGCAACGGTCTCTTGAGGGAACGGAGAATTCAAACTGAACCCAACATGAGCAATAAGTCACGATTCCTTCACCTTTTCCCAGCATTCACTAGGACAGCAGGATGAGGGAAAACAAATGGAACCGTTTTGGACGTGGCCCGGGCTAAACTATAGGAGGGAAAACTGGGTCATACATATCACCTCGTTAAAATAAGAACAGGCCATGCAGCTGACATTCAGACAGCGCCTGAAGCAGCTTGGAGCTTTACTGTGAACTGAGGCAGAAGAGTGGATTCTGGAGGGACGACTCACTCCAGTAAATCTGGATACATGGGACACTTAGAAATCAGCTCACTAAACATGTATTTAAATCTAGGCCACATGTAGTTTGACTAAACAGACAGAAGAAGACAAATAGTTCCTTTAATTGCACATTCCTCCGAGTTATTAGAAGAGCGTGTTGAGAGATTTACGCTACCTCTGCAGTACCTTACAACTATTGTAGTCCAGATTTGATAGAAAACTAAATGAATCCAGCTCTCGGAACACAAARGGGTTTTAAAAGGTATTGTCAGGTTATGGAGCATCTGAAGAAATTTTGACAAAATCAAAAGAAATTTGAAGGATTTTAAGGCTTTTTCTTTTTTTTTTAAATCTCAACTTTTTCTAAAAATCTTAATATGATTTGAATCCGCAGTCAGTGCAGGACAGTTTTAACATTTCAGTAATTTTAGGCTGTTGAACCATTCTGCTCTTTACAAAACAAAACAAAAAAAGCTATTTTATGTCTAAGAAATTCAATATGTAACTGAAAAAGCAGCTCCAAGTCATGTTTTATTGTTGACAGAATACCTTGTAATATGATTGTAATTTTGTTTCTTAATTCATTCTCATCATATTTTGCGTTAACAGTTTTGTCTTTTTCTGACATGTAAACATTTTATCTTTCCATTCACACTTCATAAATTAAAGGACTTCTTTTTCATAACTCAAAAACAAGTTTAACTCGGCTTACAAAAATGCCATATTTCTATTGTATTCTGCTATTTTTGTAAAGTCAGAACCATAAGATGTTTTTTATGCTGGATGTCACATCACTTCAGAGTTCAGTAAACTGTGAATCTTCTGGAATTTCTTGACATTTTACAGCTTATTTAAGTCATTTCATTTAATTATTCAATTCTTCAGTAGAAAAAAAAAGTCTCTTTCAGTCTCTTTTAAAAACTAATCTTTTTAAACAGTGTGTAATTCCCAGGAGCGCGATTATTAGGCCAGCCTTTGTTTTTAGACATCATTGCTAATTCTGTTAACTTTGTATTTTGCTTAGCGTTTGTGATTTTTTTTATTTAGTTTTTTTAAGCAATTTGTACAACATTTATAACTGCAAAATAACGTCAGTAAAAATACTGTAGGCTGTTTAGTTTTTATACATTTTTGAAAATATGTTGTCACACAGACAGAAGCATTTTATTGACAGCGCAAAGCATACTGTGAAGGTTAATCTTGGACAACATCTGACGATCGGCTCTTTTAAATGAAACCAGAGAGCGYTGACAGAGAGGAGAAGGTAGAAACGACTCAGGAGGACAACAGAGCTGCTTCAGGGATGGAGGTACTCACGGCTGGGAGTGTGCCGTCTCGTAGCGTTCGAAAGGATGACTGAGGTCGTGCTTGTTGTTCATGTAACACTGAGTGCACAGGTCGTAGTCGAAGCACACTTTGCACTTCCATCGCATTCCCATGATGCCATGCTTCTTGCAGCTGTCACAGATGATATTGGAGTGACGCACCCCTGCGTTAAGGGAAAAGTGGTGGAAAGACGGGGGGAACAACGTTTAGGAAATCTTTTTGTGACTTTTTTCATCACAAATGTGTAGCTTAAAACGTGTTTCAGTTTGTTTAGTAACATTCTCAAGTCACAAAAACATTCGAGGCATTCCTGATGTTATTTATAAGTCTCTAATATGAGGAAATAATTTAAAACAACAAAGAGGTTCCCAGAATATTCCCTGCCTCGTTGCTTCAAATTTCTTCTTATTTTCTTTTACTCGAATAACTGAAGGGTTTAAGGCAGGGCTATTCAACTAAACTGCTCCACGGGCCASAGTTACCACAGGTCAACAGCTCAGGGGCCGAACATCCAGTAAYTAAATTTATTATGTGAATAAATCAAGTATTACAAAGATCTGTTACCTTTGAAATAGTTTATTTTGCTGTATTTAATCATGAAAACAACACACAGAACCCTATAAAAGTAGTGATGATATAACAAAAATGACACATTATGCCTCCTATTTGACACAAATATTATTTTAACATATCTGACTTGTTAAATTTTTTAACCATTTTATTTTCACTTTCAGAGTTTTATCTTCAACTGCTTGTAATTCTAAATGTCTTGGACATTTATAGAAATGTTTTTTACCATCTTTTAACCAAGATTAGGACGTTTTTGTAGATACTAAACATGTCTATGTTTAACTAAAATAACTTATAGTAATTAAAGTAGAAAGCTGGGGGTTTGGACTTAAGAGATGAATGAACCAATTGGCGGGCCGTAAGTTGGTCACTCGCGGAACGGATATGGCCCGTGGGCCACCAGTTGAATAGCCCTGGTTTAAATAAAGCAAAATGGTGAGAATCACATTAACAGTTCATTCAAGGCCAAATAGAACWGGAGGGTTGATTAAAAACCATGAAAACTGGTTTAAAAAAATTAAACTAAGCAGGGCTCGTGAACAAAATTTGAGTCAGCTTTTTTCTTAATACAGTTAAAAGCCAGCTTTAAATTGGATTCGATCGACTAAAATCTTTGTTTTCCTGTTACAGATATTATCGATTCCTGTATCAGACTCTGTGTCATTTATTAATTCATGGGCCAGATGTGATGAGTTTGATGGGCTGTGTGCGGCCCGGGCGCCACCAGTTTATTAAAGAATCTGACCGTAGAGTTGTACAGCTTTATAAAAACTAGGTATAATGATAACTAACTAAATGAAGTTTAAGTGTTTTGTACTTTTCTGGTATTAATTGTTAAAGCTTAATATTAAAGCGTACCAATCTGAGCATTATCATAGAGCAGCAGGTCATAGGCTCCCTGGTATCCAGTCCGGTAGTTGGTTCGCGTGCCGCTGTCCCACTGAACGACCACCGTCTTGTCCGGGGTCGTGGTGCTGCCCTGCCGCCCRATCTCCACCACGGTGCCGACGTGGCCCTCGCCGTCGTCCTGGTTCCCCCATTTCCAGTCCAGGCCGCGCACAACGCGCATGCCCACCTCCATGCTGCCTCTGCTGGGGCCTGGCCTACAGGCCGAGGGCAAAGGCCGGGGCCTGGCAGCGCTGTCGCCGCCGCCGCCTCCGCTGCTGCGCCTCCGCGGCTTCTGAGGGAGGGAGGAGGACCGTGCCGACGGGATCACCGGCAGAGACGGCACCAGCGCCGACTCTGGGAACAGATCAGGGGTGACTGAAAGAAAGAGAGAAATAAAAGTTAGAACGATAAAAGGGGGAGTACAGACACAAAATAAACACAAACTAGAAGCACTCGGAGARTGCAAACCTCCGCCAAGACCAATTTCCCCCATCCGGTAAGAGTTAAAGCGCAAAAAGAAACACATTTGCCGAATAAGTTCTGACGTAGCGAACATTTAAGCAGGCAGTATGCACGGGCTTTCTTCTCTGTGGAGTCCAATGTGGAAAAAAAAGTCAGACTCATCACTCTCTGTTTACAAGCCTAGTAGCGAGAAACTGTTTTGACTGGTTGTTTCGGAAATGTGGTGTGTTTGAGGAAATAGGAAAAATAGGTTTCATGGTGCAGTCACGCACTTCCTGGTCACAAAACGTTCTGTAAATGTGCATATTATGGCAAAAATTATTCATCATTAAATGTGGTTTTAACATTACTTTTATAAAGTTTGAAGTCCGTGCTGTCCAATCCAGCTCACTGTTTTTGTACAGAAGCCCCGTGAAAGCATCACAGCTTTGCCGATCTCAGAGTGTTAAAAGAAAAAAAATTCCTGTATCCGCATCGTGATCCGGAACATCACCAAAATTTAAAGGTGTGTTCCTTGGCCCAGTACCCACAAGTGGTAAAAATGTCATGACAATCCGTCCACAAGTTTTTGAGTAATGTTGTCCACAGGCAGAACGACAGACAGGCATACGCGAATGAAAACATTACCTCGTCCTTGGCGGAGATAACAAAAGGTCATAAATGACAAACAGGTGATGCGTTTTAGATCTATGCCACAATTTTTTTAAACATTTTTTAAAAGCTGTTCTTTGACACAACCTGTGTGCAGCTGTCCGTGGCTGCTGGGGCCTTCAACGTGCCATATGTCTTATTAATTTCAGAGCAGAGTTCTCCTTCTTGGCTGGTGGATCATTCACTGGAGGCCTTGCTGTGTGTCATGGCACACTTCTGGAGGGAGCAGCTGGACTCGACTGTTACGCCCTGCTGCGCTAATCAAGCCCTGACCCGACACAAGCACACACATACACACACTCGCTAACACAATCCACTAGCCTCACTGGCCTCATTCTGACTCTGAACACTAAAAGATGAAATCTAAACAAGCAAATAAAGAAATAAACCCATTTTTACTATTTTTTTCTGTTCAGATGATAATGAAAGTTCAGTCTGTGTTGCAGCTATTTTTTATGCTTCCTTAAAATGTTTACCACAGACCAAAAACTAACCAATTTATTTCTTTTTGAGGGAGAACAATACATCTGAAAGTGAAAGGACTTTCTGTCAGCTTGTCTGTTTCCCTACAATAAACCACTATCAATAAAACTTAAAAAAAACTGAAGGATTAAAACCAATTAGCACAAAAGAGGAGGTACAAAACCTCCCATTTCACAACCATGACTGATTGCACCGGTGCTTAAAAAAAACTCAGCCAAGTTAAAAAAATGAAATATAAATGAAATAAGAAAAGGTTTACAGGATGTGAGAGGCTGACTCAGCAAAACAGGAGGAAACTTCTGCTGAGGAGCATGATGGTCTAATTTTACTCGTTAATCACACGTGGCACTTGTACAATGGTTGTTCACACACTGGTTTCCCTCTCCACGCTGTGCACAGAAACATATAACGGGGCGGCGGTGGTGTGGTGGTAGGGCAGCCGATTTGGGACCAGAAAGTCACAGGGTCGACTCCTTGCCATGCTCGCGTTGTGGTGTCCTTGAGCAAGACGCCACGAATTTCATCTCTGTACGGGAATGTGCAAGAGGTGACAACACGCAGCACATTATTTTGTCCATTCAGTGGGATTTCTGTCCCTAATCGTTCAAGGAAAGGGTTAAAGAAACACCGTGAGGCCAGTCTAATATTCTTCAAACATTTTGCTCAAAGGAAAGTAAAGAGAGATTTGCCAATACTTCAATGTATGTTCAATACCATTTTTAAAGAACACCCATCGGTGCACAGGATATGTTTCATTTGTTAAGTAGAGCTTTGACAAAAAATCATGAGCAGTCAGGATCTTACCTGCAGTAGACAACAGTAAGAGGTTTTTCACTTTGGACAAATTCTCACACTTACATGTTTCCTTGCAGTTCAAGGAAGTTTTTCTTATACTGTATATTGCAATCTTTTGCATGAGTCAGCAGTTTACTTCAATCAAGCATCTGCGCTGTGGCTGCTACAATGCCCCGTGATCAGGCGAATTAAAGAGCTTTTATCTTATTTCAAAAGTTATTCCTCTACAACATCTGGTTGATACAGATGTGCTTTAAACTTAGGAAGACGTTTGACTGTAGATGTTTTGGGGTTTAACTGACGGAGCTGAAAGTCGTGGCAGATTTAGAGCGGGGTGCGGATAAAAATGCAAACGTCCATTTCATGCAATTGTGAGGAGGTTTAGAAAGTAAAAGCAAATACATTGTGTTTTCATAGGGCTGAGTCTCATTTAGGGCGGTGATTCGATTTGATTTTCGATAAAGAGCTCAGGATAAAATATGATTYTCAACAGAGCAGCTCGATTTGATTTCAGTACATATTATTTTATACTTATTGCTCAATGCCACTGACTCAACAAAACCAGCAAAAATATTATAAAATTATATTATGTATTTTTAAATCTAGACCAAAACGTGCTCCATCATCTGCTTTTAAGGACGAAGGCGCTTCCAGAATACAGCTGGTCATTTCTCTGACTTATTGATCTCACTTGCAGCTGGCTGTTCCTCGCTCTGAACAGGAATCACGCATCATTATACGGCCCTCTTAAGGGTTGGGGGGAGGGGGTATCGATGTATGGATTTTTATYCACAATCCTACGTTTTCAGTTAAGTTGTTTTAAATGGCAGAATCAAGCCATTTTTTGCTCTGAGTAGCTTGACGCTCTCATAAAAGTGTATCTTTTAGCTCTCTAAACAAAGATGAATGATGTCTACTGCAGGTAAGATACTGACTGCTTATAAATGCCACATAACTCCCCTTGATAAATCCCTATGAACAAGGCACGTGCACACAGTTATAACAAGTGTTATTGACCTGTAAAAACACTATCAAAGTCTTTAGTGTTAAAATTCACTAAATGTTTGGTTAATGTGCTGAATCTTCTCTCCTGCATCAAAAGCAAACAGAATTTATGTTGGCATCTACAATGCTGCATCAGGACAGGAAATTTATCATTTTTATATATAAAACTTCAGCTTTTTTATTTCTAACAACTCACAGTCAGCTTGTGAGCTTAAWGTTTGGAGCCATGAGGCAAACACTAAATTATCCCCTTCTCAGACAAGTTAGCAATAAAAACAATCACGTTTTCTGTGAGAAATGTAAAAATGCAAACAAGAATCTTCAATACAGAAAGGATCATCTCAATTCTCAACCAAATATGCATTCTAGTCTGTATGTCAGCAAAACAAGGCAGGGAACTGTCTAAAAACAGCTAACTCCCTTAATATTACAAGGTCATGTTAGTATTAATCTGTTTTTGGGAAGGCTTAAAAATGCATGTCATCTGTAGCATCAACAACAACAAAAAAAAGGAAAAAAGGTCAGATTATACTTAATTTTCTGTCCAAATCGACAGCTTAGCTTGTTTCTTTTTTGGCATTAAAATAATTTTCCCATCACCAAACGTTCCGGCTTGTCCACTCAGAGGATTTGTCACTGAGAATGACGGCTTACAAGAAGCTCGTAAAATCCTTTTTAACAAATTATTTCAAAACAGTTAAAACACGGTAAAAGAATAATAATTAAAAAAAACATTAAGCCGTGCTGATTCAGCTAAATTGTTCACAAATATTTAAAACCACACACACAGGCTCTTGCTTCCCAGACCCCTATCGGTTGTTGCTGCAGAGCGAAGTCTGATGTAATCTTTCCTAAACAGGCGAGAACTGAGAAACGTAGACACAACATAACACAACAAGCTCCTTTCCCACATCTCCACAAAGAACTGAACAGAAAAAACCTCCACCCAGTCCCTCAAAAGTGACAGTAAATAAAAGGAAATCGCTGAATGTTGTGAGCTTAAACTCTAAACTGAGATCTACTGTTTACAGTGAGTCAGCAGAATCAAAGACAAACATTAAAAAAAAAAACTCAACTTGTGATCAGGTTGTGCTCTAATGACCTGTGTACACTGTTGGACACGACTGTTGCTTCTGCTTTTAACACATATGCTCATGTGAAAGAAATTTTTATCAGTTGCTCCTCAAGTTTTCTCCTTGCTGTGTTCTGCATTCCTTGGATTTTTTTTCCTGTGCGTCTGTGTGTTTGTTCTGACTCGGCCACCTGTGTTGTTGACACGTCTCTGCCAATCTGCAGCCGAGGGTTAAGGCGAGCAGGATTACTGCTCTTAGCCTGGAATAACAGATGGGTTGGCTTCCGTCACACGCGCCGCGGAGGGCCGGTTTGTGAGGCCAACGTCGACCGCCTTCACACAAACAGCTCAACGGCCTTCTGGTCGCCAGACAAGCACATGTTTCACCGTAAACAAATAAACGCACACGCATGAAAAAAAACTGACCTTTTTATATGAGATTAAACCAGGAATTTGGTAAACGTGTATTTGAGTTTTACTGAAAAAAAGTTCTAGAATCCACTAATCTGTACGGTGGTTAGGGCTGCCATGATTAGTCGATTAATTGACGACTAATCGATTATTAAAATAATCGATGACTAATTTAATAATTGATTTATCTTTTTTTTTTGTTGTTGTTCTTTACTTTTTCTCTCCAAACTGCTTTGACACCTTCCACTGCCACATCTGCCTTTCTGTCCTTGAC